AGAAAGTCTCAGGATGGGTCAACCTATATTTCTGGATTCAACTCGGTGAAATGACAGTTTCTGTCCCAGATGGTTCTTAAGGTCAAATCCTGACCTTAGGCTTAGTTCACTACAGTAACAACATATACGCCTAGCGGTAGTTGTCAAAAGCCTTAGAGGGTCCTCTGGCGCCTCTAGTGGCTGCAAATGGTAATGTAATTGTAAAATGTAATTTTAATGTAATTTTTGGAAAATGTAGCATTTAAAGCGTCAGTCAAAAATTGCGTTATGAATGTGGAAAAAAAAAACTTATATAAGTTGTTTCGACATAGAAGTGGCAAAAAACTGACTTATACGCCAGAAAATATGGTACTTAGGACAGAAACCATAGTGTATTTTGTTCTATTGTTAACCTTTTATTTTTTGCCCTAAAGAGTGCTAGTTTAAACCTTTTAGATATATAGGAGCATTTATGGAAAAAAAAAAAAAGTTTAATGGCATTCGTTCAATGTTTACCAACAAATCCATATTTTAATTTATTTATGTGTGTCAAACAAAGAAAATGTTGCCGTGCATCTATATGCAAATGTCCCTGCAGTCTTCTGCGAGTGGTTTCTACTTATTATCTCTGGCAGCAGAGAGCTATGTAGCATGCCAAAGATTTAAGAAAAAGAAACTCGTGCTGCGAACAATTTATGTGACCAGAACAAATTTGTCACCGAGACAGCAACGTTTATTTACTGCTGCCTTCAAACGTTCTGTCACGGTTGTATAGGGTTGGACCCAGATGCAGGCAGACACGAAAGTTCAAGGAAAGTTTTTAAAAAAGTTTATTAACTAAATGAAAACAAAGAGCTGATGTGGCAACACATCATGGAAGAGACTGAGACATCTGGCTGGTAGCTAATATAATGGACCACTGTAGGAATGGTGATTAGATAGAACGGAGGGAGGGGGAGTGCAAAGGGACAGCACCTGGGTGATTACTAAATGGAAAACAGGTGTGTGGCAACTGACTGAAGTACAACTGAGGAGGCTGACAGAGGCACAAAACGAAACACAAGGACAGAAGAATAAAACACAAACCACAAGGACAAACAAAACTAAAAGATAAAACTAAATTACTGAAAATCATCAATGATGCGTTCATGTTCATTACAAACACAGAAACATAATGTGATGTTGTTCATTGCAGCTAAATATACACTGTCTGGCCAAAAAAAAAGTCGCCACCTGGATTTATCTGAGCAAATAGGTACGAGCCTCCTGTTGGATAATTACTGAATGGGTGATTATCTTTCAGCTGCAACAAGTTATTGAACCCCAACTGGTGCAATGAGTTGCTTCTCATTTCTTAAACAACCATGTTGAAAGACACATCGTGTGGTCGTGGAAAAGATGTTGGTCTGTTTGAGAAGGGTCAAATCATTGTCATGCATCAAGCAGAGAAAACATGAGATTGCAGAAACTACTAAAATTAGGTTAAGAATTGTCCAACGCATTATTCAAAACTGGAAGGATAGTGGGGACACATCGTCTTAGCGGAAAAAAATCCTGAATGATCGTGATCAGCGATCACTTGAACATTTGGTGAAATCAAATAAAAGAAAAACAACAGTAGCACTCAGGGCTATGGTTAATAGTGAAAGTAAGAACATTTCCACAAACACAATGTGAAGGGAACTCACGCGATTGGGACTGAACAGCTGTGTAGCCTTAAGAAAACCACTAATCAGTGAGGCTGACTGGGGGAAAATGCTTCAGTTTGCTAGGGAGCATAAAGATTGGACTCTGGAGCAATGGAAGAAGGTCATGTGGTCTGTTGAGTCCAGATTTACCCTGTTCCAGTGATGGACGCATCAGGGTAAGAAGAGAGGCAGGCGAAGTGATGCGTCCATCATAACGAGTCATCAGTGCAAGATCTTGGTGAAAAATTATTGCAACACTGGATGGAAATTGATCTTGTGACATTGCAGAAGATTATCAAAACAATGCCACAGTGAATGCATGATGTAATCAAAGCTAAAGGCGGTCCAACCAAATATTAGTGTGTGACTTTTTTTTTGGTACTGACTTTTTTTTTTTTTTGGCCAGGCAGTGCATATTTACTGCTGCAGTTCAGTTGTTGGCACAAATTCACAATGTCCAACAATCAGATGTTTGAGCTTTATCCTGTGATGATCCATCTGGAACACAGATTTTAACATCTCTGTGATGTTTTTTGGCTTTGGGCATCATGTCGGGTAAGATGCTGCAGCCGAGAGGCTGACATCACCTCCTTATTTTACTGCAGGACCGTTCACTGACAGTTTTGATCAAACAGATGAAGTGATTTTTGAACTGATTGAATGCTGCTGCTCTAAATTAAAATTGTCATAGCTAAAATATTTTTTCCTTGTTTTTTATTATTATATTGGTATTTTGTATGTAAGCTGTAACCTAACAGATGCTAGCTTAGCATGGTGACTGCTGACGGAACACATGATGTCATTGCTGTGTCACCAAGCCAACACAAAGACAGAGGCACATCCATTCAAAGATATACAAAAATATATAACTTTTATGTAGAAGTAAAAGTGTCATATGTGCATTCTTATAAATGCTATCTGAGGTCGCAGTCTTAGTGTTTGTGATGGAATAACATAATAAAGTAATAAACTAATTAATTGGGTGCTATGCCCTCATTAGAACTTTAGCATCACAATTATCTGCTCTGTTTTTCTGCTTGAAACAAAACTGCTTTGATTCTAATTATGTCACTAAATTAAAAAATAAGAAGCACATACATGTTTAATTGTGTTCTGCTCTCCAGTCCTGGGTCTGTACGTGCACTCACAGTTAATGTGCACATGAATCCAGAAAGATGCTACTCAGCTCTTCCTGTCACAACACTGCCATCTGATGGCCAATAGTGGGAACTGCACATTGTAAATAATTTAATTTAATTTAACTGAACTTAATTTAGTCATTTGAGTTAGTCCATAAACTAAAACTACGAAATTAGAACAAATATATAAACAATGTATAATTATAAACTCATTTCATTCAATTATATAGTAACATTTTTATAACAAAAAGTTTATTTTCTGTTGGGATTTTTGTGTGTGCTTTTTTTTCTGTGCTCATTTTTTAGAGTTCAAATCTAGATTAAAGAATAATATTAATGAAATCTGAATGTTTTAGACTTGAACACAGTGATCTAATTTTTATTTTACTTTTAATTACCCTATGTGGTGCAGATGGGCACTACAACATATATATATATATATATATAAATATATATATATATATATATATCTA